TATATTATTAAACCAAATATAAATTATTTCGTTATTGTACATAAATTAAATTATAAAAAAATTGAATTAAAAAATTACACAAAAAATGAGGAATTTCAAATAGTTAATTTGATATTAATATCGATATATTTTTGTTAAATTTTTATGATATCTTCAAACATATATTTTATTCAAAAATAAAAACATATCGTTTTTTTCAAAATCATATAAAACCATATTATAACATCGACTGAGATAAAAAATAAAATAAAGTATTTAAATAATAATGTATCTCGCTGCATTACGTAAGTACGTTTTTGGTAATCGATAATGCAGGTATTTTTAAGAAAATATATGTGAAAAAACAAAATAATTACAGGTATTAACGATTTTGGAAAAGAGAATAAAGTAATTGTTTAAAAAATGAGGAAAGAACGTGAGTGATCCGCGCTAGCCCACCAAAGGTGGCTTCTTGCACATTTTGAAGAGAGAGAAAGTTAGTTTGGAGACGTTACCGGATTCGAACTGCTTTTATTCGCCGGAATTTGGGATTTCTCTCACGTCCGGTTAGGGTTGATTTTGTTATTTTTCCCTCTTTCACTCTTCGGATTTAGGAGCACCTGATTGCCGGTGTTTTTCTTGGGAACAGATCGATTTTTGTTACTCTTTATGACGGTGGAGTTAGGATCTGCGATCTTGGGTGGATTATGATGTTTACGCCGCAGAAGAAAGTGTGGTCGGGTTGGCTCTCGCCTGGAGCAGAGAAGAACGGTTCCGTCTCGGGCAATTCGGACCCTAATTCAAGCCCTAGGGACAAGGGTTTTGCAACTGGTGATTCTACACCCAAGGGTTTGGTATCCAACGCTGGGATTATGGATCAAGAACTTGTAATTGAAAAGATTTCTAAGCTCGAAAAGGAGGTTAGTAAAAAGGGTTTAATGTGTTGTCTATTTTTAAGCTATCTGACTATCTTTTTGTTTGTTTGTTTTGGAATTTCTTGATTTGTGATCTTGATTGGTCTTTACTATGTTCATTCTGATCTCTGACTTAATTAGTTGAAGGAAACTTCAAAGCTAAAGCTGCTAACTTTGTTTAACGGTAAAGTGGGTCTAAGTAGAGTCTTCAAGCATTTTCCAGGCTTCTTTTTGGAGTGTAAATATAAGTTAGCGGACAGTTCACTATTGCTGTTGAGTTAAGTAAGATTTTTAAGAATTCGATAAATGATAAACTTTTTAGCAAGCTCTAGAAGTATTTAACGAATATGATTGTCATAACTCTGTGCTTTAAGCAGCGCCCGATGAAATGATAACTTTTCTGATAACTCCAATTGGTCTAAGGAAAACTCAACGGCATGTTGCAAATGAAGTGAGCTCAAATAGGTCTGAGAAAGAGAGAGCTTATGATAAAGTAACCAATTTCTATGTGAACGTGAACCATTAGTGGAAGAGAATGAGCAAATTAGCACTTAGGGAGAGGTGGAGAGGCAAAAGAGAGGTAATGCTGTGATTGGTAACTCACAAGCTAGGTTTTGTTGGTCTCTTCGAGTCTGTGGGCTTGGTGTTATTTGAGACGAAGCCAGGTGAGTGTGGTGGAGAGCTTTGTAAATGCTGTCTCTATTTAAAAGTACGTTTCAAGTGTCAAGGCAAGTCAAGGGATCTGGCCAAGATCCTGGGAGAGTTAAGAAATAAGGTCCCTGCTTAGTTGCACCGCACAAGGCTTACTTAGACAAGAAGGTTCTCTGGGTGTTCTTATGGAGTTTGTATCAGGCTTTCTGTACTGTTCAGAAGATTTTCAAGATAGGGCAGTGATATGTGTCAAAGCCTGGAAAAGAGTGTACATATACCAAGCAAAGTTCATTGTTTTAGATTCCGCACCCTAGTACTTAACATGTAGCGTTACCACATCAAGCGGTAGCACCTAGCAAATTGCGAGTGTGATATTGGCCTCTAAATTTGTCTATGAACTTGTTAGTAACAGTTGTAAATCTGGGGCCTTATCGTATACATGTTGTTCTAAAAGATAGCACTGTACTTAATTTTGAGTCCATTGGACTGCTCAACTCCAAAATTCATTTGCTATGGTTTGGACATGCAATGTACAGCAATAAAAATTAATTATTCCTTTTGTCTAAAAACATTGCAACCTTCGACTTTGGTACATATTTTGACATAGCATCAAAAGATGTACATAAGTTAAAGGTCACAATTATAGCTGCTTGATGCATCTTTATGCAAATAGTGAATTGCTGCTTTCTTTTTCTTTCCTTTTTGTTATTGTTATTTCTTCGGTTTCTTTGTTTAATATATGTGGTAGACCGATCGAAATCAAGTTAATCTGATAATCCATCTACATACAGCTCTATGAATACCAATATAACATGGGCCTTCTCCTTATTGAGAAAAAAGAATGGGTCTCCAAAAATGAACAATTTGAGCGAGCATTAGTCGAAACCCAAGAGCTCCTTCAGCGTGAGAAAACAGCACATCTTATTGCTATATCAGAGGTGGAGAAGCGAGAGGAGAAGTTGAGGAAAGCATTGGGAATTGAAAAACAGTGTGTCCATGAGGTAACGCCTTGACTACAATTTATTTTTGTTAACTCGACCTTACATTGTGATGTCAATAGTAATATCTACATACATGATTCATGATTGTGTCAAATGCTGTAGGAATTCTTGTTTTTCTGCTGCCACTTGTTTTACTAATTTGAAGCTAATATGACACAAATTGAAACGAGTACCTAGCATTGCATTGGTATCACTGTTATTATGGTCAACAAATTGCAACATGATTGAGGGAACTGCTAACATTTAATCATTGGTTACTGCAGTTAGAGAAGGCTTTGCGTGAAATGCGCTCAGAATATGCAGAAATAAAGTTCACTGCTGATTCGAAGTTGGAGGAAGCACATGCTTTGTCTACTAGCGTTGAAGGGAGATCGTTGGAGGTAGAGGCAAAGTTACGTGCTGCTGATGCTAAGCTTGCTGAGGTGAGCAGGAAGACTTCAGAGATTCAGAGGAAATCAGTTGAGATTGAGGCGAAAGAAATTTCACTCATGAGAGAGCGCATGTCATTTAATGCAGAGTATGCTTTACAATCTGTTAAATGTTATTCTTCCATAATGTTATTTTCTGCTTTGTGTTTTCCATTCTAAAATATTGGTTCTATATGGTGCAATTCGCAAATAACTTGCTGATTCTTACATGTTTTCTTTTCTCGTCAGGAGGGATGCACATGAGCTCAATCTCTCTCACCAAAGGGAGGACTTGAGAGAATGGGAGAAAAAGTTACAAGAGGGAGAGGAGAAGCTGGCTGAGGTCCGCAGATTGCTCAACCAAAGAGAGGAGCGGGCAAATGATAGTGATAGAATATTCAAACAAAAACAACTTGAACTTGAAGAAGCACAGAAGAAGATTGACATGGCTCATTCAGCTCTGAAAAGTAAAGAAGATGAAATAAGCACAAGGACAGAAAACCTAACTTTAAAAGAGAAGGCAAGTCTTTTAGGCTTTTGGCTGATTAATATCTGAAGTATTTTATTCACTTCATCCGTATCATACATCTGCGTTCTGTTGCAGGAAGCTGCTGCTTTGAGAAAGAATTTAGAGGTTAGGGAGAAGGAATTACTAGAGCTAGAGGAGAAGCTGAATGCGAGAGAACAGGTAAGTCCTTGGGGATTGTTACTCATGTATGCTTATGATGCAGGATATTGTCACTGAAAAGTCTACATGCTAATATGTATACCCAACCCACCCTCATGGTACTTGTGCGCACAACAAAACCAAAACCAAAATAAAAAAAATAGTTGAAATCACACTACATGAATTGCTTCCTCCCTCTTCCTAAAACTAGAGTCCTTTTCATTTTGAAATCCGTAAGCTGGTATTTTACAAAATCAACAGACAGATGTCTTTTAGTTTGTTTTTGCTCCATGATACTTTTATATGATAATCTTTGCATGAATTTCTTCTCATGCACTATCCATTCTGGTTGGGTTCCAAAGATAAAAATCCTTTATCGCAAGGTACACGGATGAGTTTAGTGATTATTTAGTTATCATTTTTCAACTTAAGAAGTCTATAGCTTTGAATCTAAAAAGTAATGCTTTGTGATAAAGGTAGTAATTTTCCACATAAGGTATTTCATAGTAAAATAATTTGGATGTTTAAATAGTTCTCTGTTTCGGATATTAAATAAGGATCATCTTCTTGCAGGTAGAGATTCAAAAACTTTTGGATGAACACAAGGTCATCCTGGATGCGAAGGCGCATGATTTTGAGTTGGAAATGGAACAAAAGAAAAAATCACTGGAAGACGATTTCAAAAGCAAGGTTGTTGAGGTGGAGAAAAAAGAAGTTGAAGTCAATCACTTGGAAGGAAAAATTGCAAAACGGGAACAGGCACTAGAGAAAAAACTCGAGAAAATGAAAGAGAAAGAGAAGGAATTCGATTTGAAGTCAAAAGCTTTGAAAGAGAAGGAAAAGTCCCTTAAAGCCGAGGAGAAGAACTTGGAGAATGAAAGGAAACAACTAAGCAGTGAGATGGAGAATTTGTTAAGTCTCAAGGCCGAGCTTGAAAAGATAGGTACTGAAATTGAAGAACAAAGATCAAAGCTAAATGAAGACCGTGAAAGACTACAAGTAACAGAAGAAGAGAGGTCTGAGCATGTCCATCTGCAGTCAGAATTAAAGCAAGAGATAGAAAAGAACAGGCAAGAGAGGGAAGCAGTTTTGATGGAAAGGGAGAATCTGAAGCAGGAGAAGGAGAAGTTTGAAAAAGAATGGGAAGAACTTGACGAGAAAAGAACTGAGATAAAGAAGGAATTAGAATCTGTTGCTGCACAGAAGGAAAAGGTGGAAAAATTGAATCATTTAGAAGAAGAAAGGTTGAATAATCAGAGGTTGGAAACACGGGATTATGTAGAGAGAGAGTTGGAGGCTCTTAAGTTGGCTAAAGAATCGTTTGCTGCTAATATGGAGCACGAGAAGTCTGTCTTAGCAGAAAAATATAATAGTCAGAAATCCCAAATGCTTCATGACTTTGAAGTGCAGAAACAAGAACTTGAGACTGAATTGCAGAACAAAGAGGTAGATATTGAGAACCGCATGCGTGAACGGGAAAAATCATTTGAAGAAGAAAGAGACAGGGAGCTAGCTAATGTCAAATACTTGAGAGATGTTGCAAGTAGAGAAATGGAAGAGATGAAATTAGAAAGGGTACGGCTAGAAAAGGAAAAGCAGGATACATTTGTAAATCAGAAGCATCTTGAAGAGCAGCAGCTTGAAATGAAAAAAGATATTGATGAGCTTGTTGGCCTTAGCATGAAGTTAAAGGACCAGCGAGAACAATTCTTTAAGGAAAGGGAGCGGTTTATTGCATTTGTTGAGAAACAAAAGGGCTGCAAGGACTGCGGGGAGAGAGTTTCAGAGTTCGTCCTCTCAGATCTTCAATCTTTAGCTGAGATAAAGAATGCAGATAATTTTCCTCTGCCAAAGCTAGCTGATGGTTATTTGAAGGAAGCTGTCCAGGGTACTTCCGAGAGACCGAATGTTGGGACATCCTTGGGTGTGGCTAACTCAGGATCTCCTGCTTCTGGTAGAACCTTGACCTGGTTGCGAAAATGTACCTCAAAGATTTCTATATTCTCAGCAGGGAAGAAGCTTGAATATGAAGCGGGTCAAAATAGTACAGGGGCAACACAGGCACAAGAGAAGCTTGTAGATGTTGGAGAAATACCGGAATGTATATTGAGCTCTGAGGATGAACCAGAAGTGTCGGCTAGAGTTGCATCAGATTCTTTTGATGTCCAGAGGATTCAATCCGAGTCCAACACCAGACAGGTGGATGCTGGCATAGACCAATCAGCCGATGATCTTAGAAACATCAACAGTCAGGCACATGACATTGAGGAAGTTTCTCAGCAGCCTGATAGGAATGAAGGTCAGAGTAAGCCGACCAATAGGCACAAAACTAGAGCTACCAGAGCAGCAAGTGCTTATAAGGAAATTGTTGATCATGCTGCCACTAGCGAAAATAATGGCAGTGAGAGTGCCAACGGTGTTGCAGAAAACTCTGCTTTCACAAATGAAGAGAGCCAGGGAGTATCGGATCTGGGTATCAAAGGAATGTCAAAAGGTGGAAGAAAGCGAAGCCGTAAGACCACAAATGAACAAGATCCTAACTACAGTGAACATTCAGATAGCATCACTGAGGGCCACAGGAAGCAGAAAGTTGCTAAAGGTGTAGAAGCTCCTCAAGTAAGACGATACAACCTTCGTCGACCCAAGAAGTAAGTGACCAAGTCTCTGCATACGCCCATCTGGACCTTCACAATTCATACCCTTCTCTTAAATTTATTAAACCATATACTTAACGTCTTGCGAGTTAAACAAACAACTAGTGGTCATCAGTCACTTTATAGCTTGTTTGATGTCTAAAAGAAATGTTGTTAAACTAAAATGACTATCTGTCAATCACGTTATAATTTGTTGTTCAAGAAATGCTCTTCTTTCAACACTTCTGTTTGATACACAAAAGAGTCCGCGACTGGGAACTGTCTTTGGAGGTTAATTTTGCACCGAAGGATGTCTTTATCTTTTGGTTATGGAACTTTGAGTTCTTAATCTCATTGTCTTCTTCATGAGTTTGTATGCTTGTTAGCATTTCTTTGCTCTTCTTATTTCTCTACATTTCTGTGTCAAACAGCAGAGTCCCCGTGGCTGGTGATGGAGCCTTGTCTAATCAAAGCAAGGAGGAAGGAACTGATGGTGTCTCGAGTAAAGGGAAGAAAATAGATGGTGCTCGGAAAAAGAAAAGAGTCCCTGATCCAAAGGTTCAGCCTGGAACTTCAACAAGTTTTGCCAACGGAGATCATGCTGGAGACTCGCGAGCTCATGATGGGCTTCTGAAGGTAGTCCTCAAAACACTTGTATATAAACTTGCTTTAATATATTTCTTGTCTCAAAAGAATGTGGATTTAAAGTATCCACTTTGGTATCACTCATTTTGATGCTTATGTATTATTATCTCAGAAGAAAGTCGTGGATGGGGAGAATGAGGTAGCAAACAAGTGCTCAAATGATATGGTTATGAGCGAAGAGGTGAATGGGACGCCTCAACAGGATAGGGAGCGTTACAATGATGATCATGAGATTGAAACTACTCCTGCTGCCGCCGCCCAGGAGGAAGAAGACGATGATGATTCTGAAGATGAAGAGGAGGTTGAGCATCCTGGTGAAGTTTCCATAGGAAGAAAGCTATGGACTTTTATCTCAACTTGATGAGGGATCATGCCTATTTATTATATGCATAGAGTCCAAACAACTCCTTCCTTTTTGGTGTCAAAGAGTTGTTTGTTGTGTTATCAATTGTTTATGGTAGCTAGTTTTAGTAGCGGTATGTTAGAAGATTGTTTTGCAGATAATTTGATCATGTAAACCTCGCGTTTCGTTTCTTGTTGTAATGCGTCATCAGACCTGACCTTCGATTGTTCATTCTATTTATGTTGTCTTGTTTGTGTGACATCTTGTAGCTTGAATGCTTGTTGAAATTTTATGTAATATTTGAATGGTTCTTTGCATATTTATGAGACAGGAAATAGTCTGTAAACATCAAGCTGTCTTTCCAAAAATTGAAAATTTCATTTATACATGTTTTGGTGCAAAATCTGGTTCAGACCAAAATGGTCCTCCAACTTGTAATTTTCTCCTACACAAGGCAAGTTAAACCTGATTGTAATCTTGAACTATGCTACAAGACTCTATATATTGACTGTTCACACTTCAGACACAGCAAAAAGGCATCAGGTATGGTATGACTACCAAACAAAGGCTCAAACCTCCTGATCTATTCTATTTTGGTTAGGTACGCAAAATTGTGACTTCTTTTAACTCTATTTCTTTTACTGTAACGGTCATTGCTATCCAACCAAAGTCTGAGGCATTTCCTGCTGATCCTTCGTTGTAGTTTGTAGATTTGCAGATCGGGCTGCAAGCATCTCCTTGTGCTTCTTTATATCCCTGAAGAATAAATGAAATACAAAGGCGCATTAGCGGGCAGTATTATTGATAGGAAACAGCAGCTTTGGATTTTGAACAAGTATCATTCTTCTATAGTTCTTAATGTTCTGAAAATGGTTTGTAAGCAATCTTTTGTTGACAAGAGCGTATAACCATGAACCAAATTATTTTGTATCATTTCGTGCAAAAGTACCAGTGATGCATAAATTTAAAATGGTGTATATATAGAGTGAAGAACTCCCAAAAAATGAAACATTGAAAAACACTCTAAAAAACTATTCATTTGTACTGTATGCATATGTGCATAGAAGTAAAACCATCTCCAACGGTCCGCCAAATTCTCCATTTTGTAGTTTTCCTCTCCAACGCACAGCAAAGAGATTTTATTTTTGGCAAATATGCAGTGTGGAAGGTAAACGCATAGCAAATCACAGCCCCACTTTATGGTTGGAATTGATTTTTTTTTTAGTGTTTGAGGCCCACCAAAAATGGTGTTTTGGCCTTCTTTTCGGTGTCATGGTTGGAGATGCTCTAATTGAAGAAGTTTTCTGGTTTCTATGCATGTGTGCATGTTATGCACATTTGCATACCCCGACAATTACTTGTATGCACAAGTGCAATACCGTACAAATGAATGGTTATTAGGGAGTTCATCACTTTTTCATTTTTTTGTGATTCCCCATGAACCTAACCTTGTGTGTGTATATATATACATAGACAGAGAGAGTGAGAATGAGAGAGAGAGAGAGAGAGAGTGTGTGTGTGTGAAGTTTAAACGAGAACAATAACTAAATTAAAGAACATGAAAACGGTCAAATCATGTGCAAAATCACATGTGATTTTACACTAACGGGTAATACAATGGTGTTCGGGCGACGTGGCCAACGACTTAAGGTCGCGGCCAAAGTTGCATGGATCACATGTGATTGCACACGTGATTTTAGTGTAAAATCACATGTGATTAACTGTTTTCTTATTCTCTTATTTGGTTAATGTTCTCGTACGTACCTGACTCTCTCTCTATATAACATATCTCTAGGTCATTACGACCATGCCCATTGCAAACTATGGAAGACATCATGCGAGATGAGCAGACTATGGATGTTTTTGGCATCACTTACATGCAGCGAGGAATTTTGCAATTGGAATCTTTGCATATTTGTGAGTGCTCCTTTAGTATCCTCCACACTTGTTGACATAATCTGCAACCACCACGGACTCTGACAGTGCATCTAGAAGCATGGTAGAAAAGCCTCCTCATAGTTCTACATTCCGAGTAAGAGCATGGGATCCGCTCACATTGAGAAGCATGAATTAGAGCATCCAGCACCGCCTTTAACTGCATCAGAACATGCGTTTAACAGATCAAGGAAAACATTATTAAGACAAGTTCAGAAATGTTTCTTTGTTCTTGATCTTGTTAATTAGGTTAATGTAGAAAGAGATATGGTACCGTTAGAGCTTTGTGCTTCTGAACTTGATCATTTTTGGATCCACAGACGACTTCCATTGAATTTGAAGGCGGATTTAACATGTGAGGATGATAAGCGCCACCTTTCATTTTATAGCATGACTCACAGACATAAAACTTTGCACATATGTCACAATGCCAACAATCGTCCACCAGAACATCCTTATGGCAGGCAGTGCAGATCGGCTTAGTAACAGGCTTGTGGATTAGATGATACAAGATCATCATAGAGGAGTATTTGGCACGGGCAAGTGTATCAAACTGAAAATGGGATTTCTGGCACTTGTTTAAGAAAGCGTCACGAGTCTCAAAGAAACTATTCACAAGCACATCATCTTTATCCTTGGTATCAATAGTCACATTGCTCACCGCAACCTGTAAACCCAAGCAATTAAATCTATATGCTGACATGGGTGTGTGTGCCACAGGAAAAAGCAAAAAAGATCTTTCTGGGGGTCAGATTAATTTCAGCTAGCTTAAAAATGGCAGTGGAGGTGGTGTTCTTTTGGAGCTTAGCTCACCTCAGAGAGTAGATTTTTTTCACCGGAATGGCATGTGTGCATTTTACTCCCAGAAAAATTCTTATCAGCATTAAAACATCTGCAATGAACATAGCCATGAAGACGGTGATTATGATAATTTTAGAAGGCCAAACAATAACCAGTGTATCTATCCATACATCAAACTATGTGATGCACTATAATCAGTAAAACCTACATTTTTATTCAGAGGAAAAGACTAAAAAAAACAAAAAGCTCTTTTACCTTGAACATAGTTGAATCTTTTTGCATTGGCTGCAAAACCATCTGCTTCCAGATAAGATTACTTCATGGCAATGGGTGCATATATATTGTAAATGGACAATCATAAAGTTTTCCTTCACAGGGAGAATGGTTTGGCCCAGCTGTTGAAAGAGAAAAACGGACATAAGAAAGAATAAAAAGGAAGAATATTAATGAAGTGCAATAAATTCAGCATGCTATGCAGCCACACAGAGGAAATGAGGAACACAAATATTAAGAATGCATTAGTGATGAAGCTCGACCCAAGGAAAAAGATGCATATTTTTCTAATTCTGTTTCAATTTTCTTGCTCCTGTTAAAGCTATGTGAGATGGTATGCATGGAACCATAAGAAAACTAGTGCTCATGACCTATGGTCAAGGGTCTGTTTGTTAGCAGCTTAATGAGCTTAATGGGACTTGCAGCTTATTCGTAAGCTATACATGACTGTTTGGTAGTGGCTTAATGATATAGAAAGTGGCTTATCAATAAGCTTCTAGGGGGGACCTTTATGTAGAAAGCCAAATTTTTTTCGAACATGCCTCTCCCAACTAAAAACATGCTTCTTCTGTCTTTAAAGAACCCCTCCAAACAAAAACTTTCCCAATCTTCAAGGACGGATTAATCCACACAGACAGCTTTATCCATACAAAACTTAAAGGAAAACCAACCAAACAGCCTCTTGATCATGATTCATGGCCAATATATTGAACTTTAATGATGAGATTTGGATGCTAATATTATGATTATCGCAATTCAGTGTATAGAGTCCACACAAGCCTTCTAACAATACACATGTTGTGTAAGAACTAAAAATGGAAGCCAAGAAAAAAAATAGAGGCGTATCCTCCCATTAGTAGCTATGAACAAAGAAGCTTAAAAATATTTGACCTTTTGCATCACCAAGACATCCTTCATAGCAACATCAAGTCGGTCCTGTCCCATGGCTTTCAAGATTCTCTTGTTAGGTAGCTTGCTCTGCAATCCACCAGCACTTTCTTCCACTTCTAGTTTCCTGACAATATTTTCAGCAGCCCCTGACCAGTAATCACCATCAAAATAGGGCAAACGGGCTGCCGTTATCTTGGTATTGCCTTGTCCACTAGAAACGAAAAACTGATTATATAAATTAGTGTGGTCCACAACAGCATCATCTTCTACAGCTTTCTTTAGCATTGACTTGTACCTGCACATGGAACAACTTCTAATGAGGATATGCACAGACAATATAAAATTAATGTGAAAGACCACCTGAGTTAGAGATCTAAAAATTAGAGTTTTAACATATGATGATTGAATACATATTTCCCAGCAAACAGAATAAGATCATCTCCAATTGAAATTGATACTTCCAATCAATGTTACCTGGGCAGCACTGTGGATACGTTTGTATTAACAAGAAAAATACATGCACAGCAAGACAAAGATTAACCCCTAGAAGACGACGCACATTACAGTCCTAAAGGAGTTATCAAAGTGCAAAGCAAGTTCTTAATGGGCAACCTGACAAACAAATAATGAATGATAATGCATTATTTATATATGGTCAGGTTCAGGGGAAAACAACAAAAAAGTGAAAAACTAAGGAACATTAAAATCATTCATCTGTACAATATGCACATGTGCATACAAGTTATTTGTCTGGTATGCACACATGCACGTGTGCATAGAAACCAGGAAACATCTTCAGTTACTTGTATGCACATGTACATACAGTACATATGAATGGTTATCAGAGTGCTCCTCAATTTTTTATTTTTTTGGGAGCTTCCCCTCCTTGAACCTACATATATATGCAAGAATTTGATGTATGTCTATATCTGTGTATGCAAGAGAGAGAGAGGAGAGAGAGAAAGAGAGAGAACTATACCACTGACGTAGCTTATCCTGCTTTGGTGTTCTCTGTGTCTCTGGATGGCAGTAAAAAATGTAGTCTTCTCCTTTTATAAGAGGACATGCCCATATATAACAGGTTGCAAAACCCCGCTTCTTGCAATACTCAAGGTATCCAATCTGATGATCATAACATACGCAAAATAAAAGGCATATTTTCATCAAGTTATTGCTACATTAATGCACATAGGTAGAATTAAGAACATAAGAGATAAGTAGGAATTACTTTTTATAGAATAAGCAAAACAAAAGAATACAATAAAAATTGAATTACCAATAGTTCATGATAAACAAAGGTCCGAAGAGATTCACCAGTCGCACTTTTCCTCTCAGGTCTAAAGTACTTTACAGAATCAAGATACGAGATATATAAACAACGATGATTCGGGCCACCACACTCTGATCCAAACTCCTGAACACACATTCCAAAGAGGCACACATCTACCCCTTCTATTTTCTGAAACAAAAAAATTAACTGATGGCAAAAACAATATCAGATACCCTGTTTTAAAGCACATAATTGCCGACATGAAGAAGCACAATATTCATGAAATAGTTTATCTTACCTTTGATCTGTATGTAAATCCTGAAGGATAATCTTCTCCATGAAGTATGTCTATAAATTTCTGCCGCACTGCCAACTGTTTCTCAACAGATACCACTACTCTGACAACAAGACCTTCAGCTCCAGGTACCTTCATATAAAGAGAAAATTGAAGATATATAATGGTTACTTATTTGCAGACATTATTCAGATGCTAATTAGTAAAGTTGAAGAAATTCTAAAATGTAATACTCGGGGTATTTCTTTCTAGAATTCTTTAGTACCACTAGATTAAACTAAATCAGTGGGGTAATTTGACTTGGCATACCTTCACTACCATTCAAAAGTATCAGCTGGAGTCGGTCACAAGTTTACATAAGATATGCAATCAATTGTGTCCAAATGGTACATAATTAGGAAGCATTTGATCAATTTTACCTCCTCTGGTTCCATTCCAGAAATCTTTGCCATCTCTTCTCTTTCTTGATTGAGACGTCTAGACAGTCTTTCCTCTATGTGATCACTGAGATTAGTCCTCGGCAGATCTTTTGCTCCAGAAGCAGCAGTCTGTGGTAAGGGAACACGCATTCCACTCTCTATTTCTTCCAAGTAACATTTAGGACAGATATAGTCTGCCTTCCCTTCCACATCTTTTTCATCATTGTAGAGACCACATATTCTATGCTGCCAGCATTGACATCTATCACAAAGAACCCACTGCAAGAATCAACAGCACGGGTCTAGTAAGAGAATGGACTAAATTGATATACAAATCAAAGACCTGAGGACTAGCTTGGTCAAAGGTGTTAGAGACCACAGAAAACAAGTACGCAGATGAAAAATTAAATTAACTTACTGAATCCTCTTTTTCCTCATCATTCTTTGCCTTCTGCAGGTTTGCTTTGGGAACAGAAAACCCACGCATTACGATATTAGTCCCATGAGATCCCCTATAGCATGACATGCAAAAACAGTGTCGTATACCCATATCACTGGTTGACCTATAATAGCCAACATTTCGCTTGATACGGGTATCACAAGAAGAGCAATATATGGGTGCAGGGGCAAACACCAGCTTATCCATGGAACACAAATGGCATGTGTTGTGACCAACTGAATGTGCTTTCTTTCCTGATACATCCTGCATCAGCATCCATTATATTAGAATCTATTAATTTGATGAAACGAGTTACATCTAACAATATGCTATGAACAAAACAAAATTTGATCATGTCAAGGTCGCATAGACATGAGAGTTCATGTAAGGTAAGCTAGCAAAGAGAGTGACAAAACAGGTAGCTTCATGGGACTGGTTTTCGGGATCACTTGTTTTTCATCTCTCTTGTAACTGAAGCAAAAAGAAGCAGTACAAGCATTTCTAATTGAAAATGAACTATTGCTGTCAGCAACAAGGAGTTATAGGTTATAACAGAACCTAAGCCTGGGAAACTGGAAAATGGCACAAAAGATGCAACAACCATGTTGCAAAGCAATGCCAAAATTTGCATGAGAACAAAATAGGAACCAGGATGGGTGAAGTACGATACAAAAGGTCATTGGCCCAGCGGCACCCGGGTTACCAGTAGACCTTATTCCTCCTGAAGATCAAGGGTTCAAGCCTCATAAAAGGTGAGGAGTGTGTGTAAGTTTTGCCGTATATAAATATTAATAAATAATTCAAAAAAGGGTGAAGTAAGATTACAGAAGGCAATCAAACAGCCTGCTCTAAAGGCACATGGAAAGGAAAAAAAGAATGTTTATTTGCTAGGCTGAAGAGTTAAAATTGGATCTCACGTAGTTCACTAGATGCATGCAGAACCTTCCAGAACTGATCGATCAACAAGAATTGGCATCTATGAAAGAGCCCTTCAAGAGTTTGTAAATCAAGAGCATGAAAAAGGGAAGTAAAAAGAGTATAAGAGTCCTAAGTTGATGTGCAAACCTTCTGAGAGCTAAAACTCAACAAATGCTCTCTGATTTGAGCCGCAGTAAAAAAATCAGCCAAAGACACACTCTGTATCTTGATCTTCTCTGGCTTCACCCCTGCGTCATCATCAACCAAAGGTGCAATCTTTATCTTGGTCTTCTCTGATTCTAAGACTGAGTCGTGATCTGCCAAAGACACACTCGGCATCATGGATTTCTTTGAATCCAGCCTTATGTCATAAGCATCTGCTGCCAAAAAATTTGCTTCTATTTTGGCATGCCCAGATTCTGTGTATACTTGATTTGATATCTCTTTTTCATCATTGACCCCTTCTTTTGGAGAAAGATTAGCAGAATTCAACTCTGGCATTTTCTTCATTTCATTGTTTGTATTATCATTACTTCGCTTTAGCTCTGTTGATTCCTGTTCACCATGGGTATCATTGAAGTTCCTCCTCTGGTCATCATCCATAGTATCTCCTACAGTTGCACAGTTAACTGATGGGTCCACAGCTAAAAGTTCTGGCTGTACCTCTTGGACATCTTCATTACATACAAATGCTTCAGGACGTTGTTCCAAGTGCTGCGGCTGATCCAGCGGACTATGTTGATCAAGTGAATCAGCATATTCTTGTGAAAAACCATCTCCAACTGTTGGACTCTCCGTCTTCGGGTATTTTGTAGGCAAGGTTTCTAAAAGAGTTGCGGTGCTACTAGGATCCGCATCATGGGTGGCCTCTGCTTGGTCTTTTTTTCTTTTTCTAGATTCCAAGTGAAAATTACTAGTACTGCATAAAGACCTTGCAGGTCCACAAATATCGCAATTTAAATGATTACACTTGTCAAAATGGGATGCCAGTTCAAGATACAATGGACAATTGCATAAGTTTTCCTTGCATTCTGCTGCATGCATATAATCCTGAAAAGGAACTTCTCTTCTCAAGTCCGCTGGCATATCCTTGTACATGACATATGAACTAAGGACTTGAAAACTAGAAATCTGACTTGAACTTTCCAAAGCAGCATACTCTTGAGCCAGCGGAGATTTCTCAGAATTAATTTGGGGGATCTTAAATTCCTCTCGCACTGATATTTCATCACTGGACTTCTCACCATTGATAAATAACATATTTGATCGAGTCTTCAATCTGTCATCAAACTGCACTGGATGCTGCTGAGCCTGCTCATCAGGTTGTTGGGACACTGGCATGTGAATCTGAGGTTGCAATGAATCCCCACGATCTGATATTTGGGTATTACACTTGCTCTCTAGGCTATCACTAGTTTCAGGATGGTTCGTGAGATTCTGTTGCACATTGCACAAATTCGAATATGGAGATTGCACATCATCCCCCAATAATGATGGAACATCCATGTTGTATGCGGTTTTCTTCTTCCCAATAGAGCTTCTGTATTGACCTATTGGTAACAATTTCACAAGGGAGAGCCGATGTCAGATGCATAACCAAATCAATAGAGAAAACATATAGAGAATAAGATTTAATGAGGAGTAAGAAGAACATTTAGAAACAGTAGAAGATGGATTTGGACTAAAGCAAATGATTCCTTGCCTCTGAGCAACATTGACTACACCCATATTAGTCATTGATGTTCACCATCCCATATCATTATGCATTTTGTTTTATTATCATAAGATAAGAAAAGAGACCATACTCTTATGAAAAGGTTGCTGTTGGAAGGAGTTCGTTGCTGATGGGCCTGAGGTAGAGTGCAAAACACTTCCGGGTAGAGCTGCTATACTATCAAAAGCTTCGGTATCAGATACAACATCCCCATAAGAACATGCAGTTACGGATGACACTTGTTCAGGTGAAGTAATAAGCTCTAGATCAGTCTGCTTTACACCGAATGGAGAAATCGAGTTCATCCCACCACAATGAACAGCTGAGCTAGCAACATTCTGGCTATAGTCGTTGAATGCAGATCCTGCAGATGTTTATCATGCATAGCAGATCAAATACAAATGACTTGGGGGGAGGGGATGTAAATTAATATGAGTACTGTTGAGCCAAATGGGAATGAAAGAGCCAAAGAACACACCTCCACACAGCCCAGGATTATAAATGCTTACTGAAGCCGGATTGTAACCATTGTATCCCAAATTCATATAACTTTCAGGTGGACAGAATGAACTAGCATTATGAAAAACAGGTGAAACCAACAAATCTGGCAAAGACGAATGAGAGGAAATGAGCCTGTGGGATACTATCTGATGAAGATTAGCATCCTTTAACTCCTGCTGAATAAAGTTCTGCGACCCCTGGTCAAGTAACTTCTGGTCATTATACTCCTATTAGAGTTTCAAAAAGTATACAAGTTCAAATAGGAAAAGCAACAAACCCCAACATATTAATCAAGAAAACATTGAATTTTCCATATATCAGAAGTCCACCATCCTCTTAAGTGTTCATGCACTAAAGTAATCTAATTAAACATGTTTGAAGCATGAATTCCGGTTTCAACATGCTACATAATCGGAAGGTTAAAACATAAGTATAGAAGCCCTTTATAACCACTAACTCTTTTCCCCTTTCTGTATGGTTTAGATGCATAAAGTGAAATAGACGATTTAGCTACATGAAAAAAAGCACAACTTCCCATTTTAGAATCTCCCAACTACTATCTAGAAATTTGCACCAGAATAAATCTAGCACAAATCATATTGCATACAGCCGATGTTGAGAATTTTTCCAATCAAAGCATTGGAACCCTAAATCTTGTTCGGATTCAATCATTATGGTACTAATTGAAACTACCACCCAATCATCGGTCTTGCAATATTCAATTCTAATTAATAAAAAGAACAAGCACACTCACGTTTAAAGTATCTAAAATAATCATCGCTAAACAAATCTATCACAAATTAAATTTCATATGACTGATTTCGAGAAATTTTCTCCAAACGATACATCGGAACCCTAAATTTTGTTCCGATGCGATGATGAGGGCAACGCAACGCACTCCTGATTCAAAAGACCACCAAATCATCCATCCACATAGCAATATCCAATTCTACTTGCAAAAAGAAACAAGCACACTTACCTTTGGAGTATCGATAGAAGTCGGAAATCGGCTGTTCAAGTGATTAATAAGGTCAGATGCCCAATTCTCCCCCTCAGTTGTATCCATATAGTTCTTGGCACTAGATAAAAAAGACCCCCTGGTTAATTACAGTAAGTAAATGCAGTACATAATTTTTAACTCCAATTACCGACCCCTAAAGTATGCATTTAGTATACCCTTTCTTTATGCTTAAAAGTTAAAAGTGTCAATTAATTTCCTAATAACACTAAAAACTGATCAAATTTTCATTATACAACATGTGCTTTGCTCCAACAAAAAAATTGCACACGCCTTAACATTCCAACAACTAATATCTTAATACAACCCCAAATATCAAATTCAAAACTTATGAACAGGGTAAAAAACAAGAAAATTGAAACTTACATCTTGCCGATAAACTTATTAACATTATTGACACCGCAACGTCGTTTCTTGTGCAGATTATCCAAGACACCTCCTTCTTTCTGAAGATCGTCAATACCAATGTTCTTGTTCTTGAATTGGTCCCGTACGTGACCTAATTCGTAAACCATCCTTTCATAATTTCATCCTGCAAGTTTCAAGAAAGAACAGGGCATCTAAAAAATTTCAAGAAGATAGCGATAGACACGCAACGGGTCCGAATTGGATGACGGGTAAGGAACCCTAGTGAGGGATAAATGAAAAAGGGAAAGTTTCTTTCTCGAGATAAAAAACCAAACCAAGAATCGTTAGCTTCTATCTTCGAAATCTAAGTATCAATGGCATAGGGGCGAGATGAGGAAGTTAGGGTAACTTGTATTAATTTCCCAATTTAATTTATAGGTTATCATCTCTAATTCTGCTGATTTTGTGGGGTCATATCGAGTAGCCATGACTTATGTTTGCTGTCCTGCTGTACGAGAATCTTGGTAATAAAAATACACCTTGCCGCCAAACTTTCATGTGATTTTCAGGATTAATTGATTCTTAATTTATTTTTTTATCCTAAATCTTTTATTAATCATCTTATTATTGTTTTTTGGGTAGGAAAATTTTATTTAAAAAAAAGAAAAACAAAAAAGGCATCGAGGATCCAAAACCTATGTTATGTTAAAGAACAAAAACCAACAGCAGACTACAATCAAAACGAGAACCAAAGCTGAAAGAAGAACGTCCAAACGACGCCCGTAAAATCAACATACGTTTTCTATAGATCTATGTGAAATCAAGTTCAATTACAATGTTTGGCATATACCATTGATGGTCAACTTTCCATTTTTAAAAATCTTTAATGTTAACTGTATAATAGTCATTACTTTCGGATATTTTATCAGATAAAATTCTCGGTCATCAAAATAAAATAGAAAGATTATTGGTAAATCATCTCTTACCCAGTATATGATAGCTAGATACGACTCACCACCCTCGTCGGATAAGATTTTCGGTGCTTGCCATGTTTGATCGGTAAAATAAATTACTTGATAAACACTAGAGGGGTGTTTGCTTTTTTGTCCATTAAGTTCTTAATTCGTTAAGTTGTCTCTACGCATTAATCTATCTGGATAAAATTAAGATAAATTGTTATATGATTTTTGTTCTAAATAAATAAACTTAACAATAAAAATTACCATTTTAATCTTATGTGTAAATAAGTGTCTGAATGAAAATAAATTGTTCTATAAATATTTAAAATGACAAAAAAGAACTACATAATATGAATTCAACAAGTTCATACTAAAGGCTTACTCGATAAGTGTTTACCAGTAAAATTCAACACTATTACTTACTTACCGAGTAAGATTTTACTCCACGAAAACAACATCATATGCAATAATCTACCCGATAAGCTCTTACCATAATAAGAGTTGCCGTCTTCACTTACCAGGGTAAGACTCTTGTTACTTGTCTCGCTCTTACCGGGTAAAATTTTTGGTCATTGTCATATTCATCCGGTAAGATAATGTGACTTGGTAAACACTTACCCGGATAAGCGTTTGGCAAACGGCACCTTAATAACTTACAATATATATAAAACGATAAAGTATTATTGTTTGATTACAAATTTTAATTTATGCATGTTGGTAAATAATTTATTTTTTGATGAGACGTGTGATTAATTAAATTGTAGGACATGGTAGATTTTGAAAAACACTCTCAGTCAAGTCAATCACTTAATATTAAGTTAAAAATCAAACACGTTAATATACCTTAACCAATTAAGTTAACCATCCATTGAACTTATTAAACTGGAAACAAAAACTCGATTAACATTTAACAAACGGCCCCTTAAATATAAAACAAAAAATAAAATGTTGTCGAACAATGCTTTATTTCCTAATTCTCGACAATGCCTAAAATTGTTGAAGTTAGCTGATTGATATTTTAAAAAATGATCGCAAAAAACAAAAGTTTGACGGGAAAATTTTATTGTCGTAATATATAATATAATAAAAATTAATTATAAAACAATTACAAAGACTCCTGAATCGATAAAATATAAGTTAAATAGTAGATTGATATATTAAATTTTCTCAATCAAGTTTAAAATTTATAACCGATCGATTGTCGCATTTCCACTTGACTGGGAGTTCTCATATGATTTTTTTTTTAATTTTCGTATTCAATTAATTAATTATAACAAATCTATATATATATATATTAAAGGAAAAACCAAACATAATGAGGTGACACCTTTTAATGCTTAGAATTCATCTTATCTTTTTTCTCATTTTTGTGATTTTTTTTAAATGTTGAATATGTTAAAGATTTTTTTGCCCTTAGATGAAAAATGTATAGCTCATAATTAACCCGGATTATTTTTGTAATTTTGTATACCCAAGACTAACCTCCAACTCTTGATTTGCCCTTCCATTTACTTTATTTTATTTCTTAATGAAATTTGTCTTTCAAAGTTTCAATAATAAACATGAGTGATTCGGCAGATTTTGATTCCTATATATCCACCCATGTGGTACTTCATTATACCATATATATAAGATCCATCTGTATAGATATCACCATCTACATCCAGAAAGCCGTATGCTTTGGAAGAAGCTTGTACAGTTTGGGAAGGGGTTTTGATTGATAAAAAAGAAGAATCTACTTCAACCGATATGTCCTTAGGCACGACCATACATAACATAGAAATCACACTTGAAAAGGGTGGACAATTAGCTAGAGCAGCGGGTGCTGTAGTGAAACTGATTGCAAAAGAAGGGAAATCGGCCACATTAAAATTACCTTCTGGGGAGGTCCGTTTGATTTCCAAAAACTGCTCAGCAACAGTCGGACAAGTGGGGAATGTTGGGGTGAACCAGAAAAGTTTGGGTAGAGAAATTAAATTCCCGATTTATATTTCTTAATTAATTTAGGGGATTCHCTCCCTTTTTTCATTTTTATGATATTTTCAACTTTAGAGCATATATTAACTCATATTTCCTTTTCGATTGTTTCAATTGTAATTACAATTCATTTGATAACCTTATTGGGCAATGAAATCATAAACCCATATGATTCGTCAGAAAAGGGGATGATRGCTACTTTTTTATGTCTAACAGGATTATTAATCACTCGTTGGATTTATTCGGGHCATTTCCCACTAAGTGATTTATATGAATCATTAATCTTTTTTTCATGGAGTTTCTCCCTTATTCATATAGTCCCTTRTTTAAAAATAAGAAAAAATTATTTAACCACAATAACTGCCTCAAGTACTATTTTTACCCAAGGCTTTGCTACTTCGGGTCTTTTAACTGAAATACATAAACCCACAATATTAGTACCCGCTCTACAATCGGAGTGGTTAATAATGCACGTAAGTATGATGATATTGAGCTATGCGGCTCTTCTTTGTGGATCATTATTATCAGTWGCACTTCTAGTCATTACATTTCGTCTCTCAGTGTCAGTGTCGGCCCAGCAGAGTGCTTTCGCCGTTGGTGTTCTTTCCGATCTCTACGCATT